TCAAACAGTACACAAGCTACTTGGATCAGCCTTCTGCAGCTGGTCACAGTCTAGATTAATATTAGTTTTAGCTACAACAACGTTACTGTATTAAAAGCCAAGCATAACTTTTTGTTTCACTTTCCTCTATCTTTACTAAAAATTCTCTAACTTGACAAAACAGACAAGTTACATTTCCAAAACATATTTCTTGGGTCATAAAGTATGCATATTATTGCTTTAGTATTGTCTGTGTTTTCAGTCTGCAAAATCCCAAAGAGCTGGACCTCAGAAACTGCCTCGTGCTAATACACAGCGACTGCAAACCCATGTTTTAGTACTCAGCCCTATGTTAAATATCTTATTTCTTACTTCACAATAAAATTTAAAAATTATCTAAGTATAGAGTTCATATGTCCTTATTCAAAAGACTATTTCAGTGCTTATAGCCCCCTAATTTAAGCAGATGCTATGATGTCCTTGGTGACAAGCCTAAGCTACGTAACATTGATAGAGAGTAAAAAGCACCATTACTGCTGCTGAGAGCTAATAGTGGGACCTGTTCATTAATAACTTCTTCAGTACCCATCTTACCACATAGGCAAACTAGACCCCAGAAGACCACTACACATCTGCATCTTTCAGTTCCATCAACTTCTAATCATATCAATGTATTTTTAAGGACAGCACCTCATTCACAGTTTGAGAACATTTGGGAGCTGAGGTTAACTCACTCACATGGGAATGTGCTTGGTTACCTCTGTCAGAATTCTAGTAGGTGAAACAAGGAAGCATCTGAAGTATACCAGGTACAGGATGAACCTATAGGTTATTGCCTTTCAAAATTAATACAAATTTACTCGAGAGACCTATTTGGCAGAAATGCCTTTTTTTTTTTTCCTTTCTTTTTACTTGTATTGTAGGCAAATAGTTTTTCTTATCTGCACATAAATCTTGATCTGATGTAATAACATGTTCTTAGGTTAAGAGATTTAGCTGGCTTGTTAATGTAGCTCAGACAAGTGAAGGTGGTACTTCTGGCTCACATATTTTTCCACTTCAATAGGCATGTTTTTATTGCAGGAGATCATTACGCAGGCCCTATGTAAAAAGAGCAAAGATGGTACCTGTCCAACATAGAGAAACCCCTCTTTATCACACAGTGATGCAGGGTTAAACAAGAAAAAGCAGTTGCCACGTAAAACACCTTTTAGCCTTCCCCACACTACTACTGTCCTAGCAAGCAGAACATACTTTAAACATTTTATTGTGATTCACTCAGATATAAGATCAGATTAAAAGTATGTATGAACAATAATTAGCATTCTAGTATGCCCTCATGTTCTGCAGGTTTTAATATAGTTATTTAGGAAGGTCAGCACAATATGAAGGTCTTGATCCAACTCCAATTGTCTATATAAAGTAAGCCCTAGCCAGATATTTAATAAAGAACTGTATCTGAACACATAAGCATAGCAGCTTCTTAGATCTGCAAGTTGCTTTTCAAAAGTATTTTGACATTAAAAAAAAAAATTCAAAACCAAAGGGTTTTAAAGTTCCCAATAATCTTAGGAAACCTCAGGAGCATTATATGGCAATTACTGATGTGAAGCAGAAGAACCTGGAAGACAGATATCTTCCAGATTCACCCCCTCCCTCCAGCCCCTTTGAACAAGCCAGGTTAGAAACCTAAGATATGTTCATAACTATTTTAGTAGTGTTCCCCACTCTTCTCACGTATAGGACTGCAATCAGTTGTTATAATCCCAGATATTATGCACCAAGATCTAATCACTCTATTTTGGTTGTACCACAACTGTCTTTTAGGGCACCAGAGAGTACATCTAAGACTTATTCATTAGGAATCTTCACTACATTAGCTCTGGTACTTGTAATATGAGGAAAATAAGGAAATTACATTTTCAACAAGGCCAAGTATATGCCATGGAGGGGCAGACTTACTAAAACATGCTGCAGTTTCCACCTCACCCAAAGAACACAGCCACAGAGAGTACCAAGAGAGAAACAACCAACCTATGAAATGCGCTCCCAGTATAGTAGGAATGAAAAAAAAAAAATTCTTCCTGAGACCAGCTCTACCCAGCCACCTGAACCACCACTGAAACTGCCTAAGAAACAGACTTAATTTGGCAAGTCATGTCAACTATGTAATGCTGCAGAAAAGTCAGAGAACATACCATGGGTTTGCAGCTACTGTTGTATTTGCTGTATTTTTGGGGGGTTGGAGAAAAAGGTTTCTCCTCTGCTAAAAGACCATTCCATCTCAGGTGTTAGACATATGTAAGCCTGAGTCGTTACAACTTCTATTTATATATTTTAGTATAACATAGTGATACAATGTTATAGAGTGCTTTAAAAATGAGAGACAAAATCCTGCAGGTCTAGATGTAGCTATTATGACCACTGATAACATGAGGTTTTGTTCACTAGAAAATTATCTCCCATCAAGGAAAGTAATTACATTCACTTGAAATCATACACAGGAATTACTGACAGAAGCATTGACATAGACTAGTAAGGCTGGAAACCTTAAGCTGAAATGAAACCTAAGTTTTCATTTTTCTCCGTTGCTTTTCTGCTACTAATACAACAATTCTTCTTTGGGGAAGGATAATAGCTGCATATTTGCAAATTGTTAAATTTATAAAAAATTACTAAATACAAATGAGGAACACTAAATACTAAAGTTGAAAAGTATACATTTTGCCAAGAATCAGGTAGGGGGAGAGAAGAGGAATTACCTGCTGTGTATCTGCTACAGTGCCCAAAAAGGAGGAATTAAATACATAAATAAGTGCTCACTTCCATTACCATTTTCAGGAACTCCTGAAATCAGATGGAATTAGCCCTGCAAAAACTCTGGGGCTTTAAGTTAGTAACCTCAGAGCCTTTCTAGGTATTCCCTAAACATACTAGAAGTAGAAAGTGAGAGAAAAGCAACTCTCTCAGCCCTCTCAAACTTGAAAAGTGAGGCCCTGCTCCCACAGGCCACAACACCTTACAGAAACTAAGTTAAATTGACTTGCAGTTTAATTTTATTTAATACAGCTTACAGTAAATAAAAGTAATTCTTCATCATCTTCAAAGACTTCCAGGAAAATAATTTTTAAAAGTTATAAAAAGAGTGCTTTTGTTGTAACACACCCCTTTAACTGTACTAGGTTGAGGAGGTTCTGTCTGAGAGGGAAAACATGTTTTCATTAGAGACAGAGTAATTTCTTGGTATGTGGGGCAATCACGGCTGCAGTAAGCAGCTCACCTCCTGTCAACCTTCATTTTGGATGATGACTTTGAAGAACACTATTTTCAGGAAAATTTTACCTCCAGTTAAGCTTTGGGATTTACAAATGACAGCTTGTGACAGTGGTGGGGCAGCCTAACTGGAGAGCAAGTGCTACAGGAGCACACCTCTAACCCAGCTAGCACACAGGCTGGGATCCCACAGGCTCAGAGAGCCTCCCTCAGGTAATTACTGAGCTAGGAATATTTGTACCCAAAGAATATGGCATGTTTTAAAAAAAGTAATCCTTCATGCATTGTTTTTCCTGGTTTTTCCTGTAAGAGGGAAGCTACTGGAAAAATCTTCCTCCTCAGGTCAGTCTTTGCTACTGCTCTCAGTGACATGTCCTTGCAGCCAGTTTTCCCTTGCTGTTTTCAATAGCCTTCATGTTCCTCAGCCTTCCAATGTTAAGGAATGTTACTTCCACTCTTCCATGTAATAGCATTACCGTTGCAGCCTCTGTGGTGTTTGAGGTTTTATGGGCACTATCTCCACTTCCTATAGTTATTTGTTTGAGCCAAAATGAGGCAATCCTTGTTTTCCAGGGAGAAAGGTTGTTTTTTACCATTCTTTTTCATATTGACATGATTTGCCCACCTGGCAGTTGTCAGTGTTGCCTGTGTTATGCTGCCTTCACCACCGACAGAAGGAGGCAAACTCACTCATACCACTTGATCACTGTGACCATTTGGTATGTGATCTTGTCTTTTCCAGACAGCACAGACTGCTTCTCATGGTTGCCATGTTCTTGCTCTCCTGGCTGCCACACCATATCATCACGATGTGGGCAGAGTTTGGGCAGTTTCCCCTGCACAACATCTCCTTCACCTTCCGCATCATCTCTCTCTGCTTAGCCTACGGGAACTCTTGCATCAACCCCATCATTTATGCTTTCCTCTCCAAAAACTTCCGCAAGGCCTGTCGGCAAGTCTGCACCTGCAAGTTCTCCCTGCAGCCAGTTCCCACTGAGAAACTGCTCAACATATGCATGGAGATCTTCTCTACCATGCACTCGACCACTAACCTGTAAATTGGGCTCACAAATACATTTCAAGAGGAGGAAGGGAAAGCGTACTGTCTGGGGAGAACAGGTATGCAAGTGCATTTCAAGGAGCAGTGCAGCCTGCAAAAATGTGTCAGACTGCCAGAGTGGTGGGAGGCACTTTTTCATCTAGCTGTCAGGACGCTTTGGCACAGCGTGTCCCTAGGCACAGGACAATGTGCAGCAGAAGTATCTGAATGTCCTTGAAGCGTCCATGAGATAGAACTTGTACGCAGTTGTAGTTACACCCATGAAATCTAAAGTAAGAGTTATACAGAAGGTAGAATATGCAGACAAGAAATGAACAGTTCATTACGTTTCTAGGTAAGTCATTAGGGTGTGAACAATGAATGATGTAACATTTAGAGACCACTGAAAAGCAGTTGGGGAAAGGTAAAAATTATTCAAATATGTCTTTTTTTCTTAAACACCACTTACAAGCTACATGTATTTTTAGCTCACTAGCTGTGATAGGATCTCTACATCTCCTTGAAGGCTTTGCTGTAGTACTCACTTATTGGGCAGCAAACTGTTTCCCATGGCACGTCAGTGATGTGGATGTTTGTGTTTGGTGGCTTTGTATCAACTTATATATCCCAGGGTTTGAGTGTCCCATGTGCTCCTGAATGTAATTACTGCTGTTAATCACTGGCGCCAGTAACTGTCTCTTTGTGAGCAAGAGTAGGAGAGTAGTGTTTCTCAATACATGCTTAAAAGAATGGTGGGTTTGTTTGAAAGTAATGCTTACAGAAGCATTAAATACAGTGTTCTCTGAGAATACCTACCCAAAGCTTTTTATTGGCCACTTCAGTATATAAATGCCAAAGGGTTATGGCATTGGGTGTTTTCGATAAACTGTTTTGTTCAACAGTGCCCTAGCAACAATCAGCATTTTCCCAAGTTCAAGGTTACTGTTTGTAAATATATAAAGTGTGTATTACTTCAACATTAAGAAGCATATGGCTGAAAGAACTTTTTCACCGTATTGTCTAATTTGTAAATTTTGTGTGCTGCAATCCAGACTGACCTGTCACGGGATTCACTGTAACATGATCCCAGATTCATAAACTATATTAGTGATTTTTTAGAAGTGAGTTACAGACACTAAACTATAGATTATAAATCCAAAAACCATTAAAAAACCCCTGTAACTACAAGGTTCAGAGACCAGACATGTCACTGCATCACGCAGAAAAAAATAAGCAGCACTTAAAGGCTTTTTTTCCCCACTTTTTAATAGAACCTGAAGCAGCAAGATCACCTTTCTCAGTGAAAGGTAACCACAAAATGACAAATTAATAAGACCTTGGAAAACCCTCAAGCTTTAACAAAGCCTTCTCATTGCCAACAAACTTTAGAGGCATCTGGTCTAGAATCCTCTCAATGAACAGTGACATCACGAGAAAATAAAATATAATTGTCCTTTAGTCCTTCTACGTGTACCTGTAAGTGGTCAATGTTATATCCAAGTTAGGAATCCTTTTTTCCTGCCACAGTAGTAATTAAGTTTTAATACTGAATATTTAGCTGCTGGCAATGGGAAGCAATGAAGTGCAATGCAGCTCCACATCATACAGGAATTGTTTCATTCTGATTTTAATTTAAAAGTATCAACAAAGGTAAGCAAAATCAGCTGATGAAATCTTCTCCAAACTCTTCTCCAAAGGCATTTTGTTACTCACTAGCTTCCTTTCGGAAAGCCATGATTTGTGATGCCTATGGAACCAACTATCACAGCATCCAGAACAGTGCACAAAGTTAACCTGGTCACCTGGTTCTGAAACTCATTTCTCTGTTCTTTCAGTCTCACACACAGAAGCTCATTCACTCTGCCTGAACAACTTCAAGGCTAGTCCCTACTAGACCACTTATTACTGCTTGGCAACCCAAATCAACCTCCTTTAGGTGGAGGATTATTAATAGAGGAGTCCATGCCTGGGAGACCCGTCCTTTTCCGAGCTGCAGTCTCTATCTTCCGCACCAGGTCCACGTCCCAGCGATGGGTGACAAAACTAACCACAGCTCCTGGCGCCTTGCTTCCAACCCGTCCAACTCGCCCCACGCGGTGCAGATAGTCCCGCAGAGTGTCTGGGAAGTCATAGTTGACCACTAGCTGCACACTGCTGGTGTCCAGCCCCCGGGAGGCAAGGTCAGTGCAGACAAGAACAGACACGTCTCCCTTCTGAAAGGAGGCAAAGATGCCAGCTCTAGCAGCTGCTGACATCTGTCCCTGCAACCGGAGGTGCTTGATTTTGTGGTCATCGAGGATATAGCCCAGCCAGTTGACAGTGCTGGCACTGTTGCAGAAAATGAGAACACCTCCACTGGATGCCGGGCGCTCCTTGAGTAGCTGCAGCAGTTCAGGCAGCTTGTCCCGGCCTTTGATGCGGAGGAACTTCTGCTGGACGTGGGGCGGCAGGTGGTGCAGGTTCTGGGTGGCGAGGGTGACAAACCGGTCCACGTCGGTGAACCTCCCCAGGATCTCGCTGAGCCCCGTGGGGAAGGTAGCTCCAACCACCACCACCTGGGTCCTCACCTCGCCGGGGCCGGCCGGCCCG